ACAATTAATATAGACGTGAAGTACAAGTTTTGCAGAAGTTTACTCAGTAATCAATAAACGAAGAGCGACGGCTTTTGAAATATTCAGGAGGATAATTTTGATAATATATCGTTGGTTTACCTTTATAAGGCCAGGCATAACCTTGCTAAGATGAGGTTCGATAGCATCCCGACCCCAATGCTCCACCACCTTGTGCAACATTTTTATCGCGCCCATGTTCATCGGATACGGTTCTGTAGCGATTATAGTGGAGACCAAATGGATAATTTGTTCCGGCTTCAAAACCATGGCCATTGTCGCCGCGCACTTCTCCGCGTTCCAATGGACCTGTTATGAACGGCGCCATAGATATAAGATAGCACTTTTAATTCCTGTTAGTTAAAAAGTAAAACGCGATCGATACTCACTGGAGACCTACCGCCGCTGCTGCTGGAAGATTCGACTTTTTGATCATCCGATTTGTAGGCATAGATCACTTTCAGTATCAATAATTCATTGTAAAACGAAAAGCTTTCTACCAGGTCGGGGCATTTAAGCATATCAATTAGCGTTTGCAGCACTTCTACTTGTATCACCTTCTCGTCATCAATGGATAACCTGTGTAAGAGAACTTTAAGCACTTTCCTAAAATATTAGACAATTGTTAAAATCGCCAGGATAACTATTAAAACACATTGCACGTTCGTATACTTACTTTTGTTGTTATTATGAGAGACAACGAGAGAACACGTTATTATTAAATAAATCGGCACAAAGGTTAGGTTCACTCTATCACTCTATTTACGGGCGCTCGTATAAGTCGGTAACGTCAGTCACGTCAGCCGCGCTTGCGAGCGCCACGCGCGGCAGACGACGTTTCTTAACGCGAATTCACAACCGCGGACTTTGCATTGCAAGTAATATCTCCACACACGGGGCACGTAGGAGATAAAAAAACTTTTATTATACAAATCGTACCCAAGTTATCGATTAAACGCAGCTCAAGTTCGTCGGATCAGCCGTTGTTGAGATCCGAAATTCCAAAGGCCCGTCAACTCGCGCACTCGCGTACACTACACGGTCGGTCTCGCGCGCGTGGTCTATTATAGCTTGTCACTTTAAAACTTTTCGCTTATACTTGGCACGTGACACTACTGTGTCTCGTGATGTATAAAATATATGTTTTGTTACTCTATCTTTTTTGCTCTATCTCTACAAAAATATCTTCACTACAAAACTATCTTCTCTACAAAAGTAATGATATCATCAAATGGCACCAATTAAACTAATTAGTTTTAAAAGTGATGGGGCGATGGTTGGAGTGCGGGCATGCCCGCCGGCTGGGCGCCGCGGACGCCCGTTGCCCGTGGTTTAGACAATTTAATACAAATAAATATTTTATTTTAAATTACAAAAACTTTATATTGGGAACATAGATTGGGATGCAGTTTCTCAAGTTTCATCTCAAGCTAAACATTATGGCAAACTCGCGGTAGAAGAAATTAAAGTATTAAGAAAAGAACTAAAAGTTCGAGGTCAAGAAATTCGAAATAAGAATAAAAAAATTACTAACTTACAGTCCTTACTCACACAATTAAAGAACAAAAATTTTATTGATCATTTAAGTAAGGAAACATCGGTACGTAATATTAAAAAATCTCATGTATCTTAATCTGTACAATAGCAATACTTTTCCACAACGAAAATGAAAAAAATAACATTTCACAAGTGATATAAAACCTTCACGATGTGTATTCAATATCATAGATTTTTACATTATGAATTTTACATTATCACATGAATAATTGATATTTTACTTTGATATTTACTTGACAAAACACATTATTAACATATAATATTATTCTTTGGATTTATATAATAAGAAAAATCTCATAACATAAAAGTTATTTTTTGCTATGTTACAACTTCGAAGAAGAAGGAAGTAAAAATAGAATTATTGATAATATATGGCTAATGATGACTAATTATTAATAATTAATTACTAATGATTGTAATTATTTTTTATAGTGCTTGTACAATGTTTATTAGGTAATTTTTGTGTATAACTATAAAGATTTATCTTTACAGACAATTTTAACCCCATTAGAAGAAGAAATTTTTCAAAATATGTTAAAAAGAAAACGCCCGGCATGTTTTCCACCACGTTTACGATGTTTTGCAGCAACTTTGCACTTTCTATCTCCTAAAGCATATAAATATGTTCGTCAAACGTTCATTAAATGCTTACCTCATACCAAAACTATTTAAAAATGGTATGTATCAGTAGATAGTTCACCTGGCATTTCTAAACCTGCCTTAGATGCAATACAAAGAAACGTTACAAAAGTCAAAGAATTGAATAAAGAATTATATTGTGGATTGATTGTGGACGATATGTCAATTAAAAAACAAGTGGAGTGGAATGGTAAACAACTAGTAGGATATATTGATTACGGTACTCAATTGAATAACGATTCGCTGCCAGAAGCAAAATATGCTATGGTTATAATGGTTGTATCTTTTAATATGCATTGGAAAATACCAATAGCATATTATTTTATAGACGGTTTGAGTGGAATACGAAGAGGTCAGATTATTTCACAAGCTATAGTTGCTCTACATGAAACTGGAATTAATATTGTTTCTATTACTTGTGATGGTGCATGTAGCAACATAAATATGTTGAATAACTTAGGCGCAAATATTTCTGTGCTGAAACGAAATAATAACCTTTTGAAAAAGAAAGACAAAAGCAACAATAAAAAATATACTCAACAAACATATACGGGAATAATTAATAATGATAGAGAAATAAATAATAATAACAATGATAGTGATAATAAAAATAATGGATTATCTATGATAAAAGACTTAAAAACATATTTCCCTCATCCAGTTACGAAGAAAAATATTTGGGTTATGCTAGATGCTTGTCATATGATCAAATTGATCCGTGGTGCCTTTAGTAGTAAAAATTTGATTACTGCTGAAAATGAAATTATATCATGGAAGTATATTGAAAATCTCGTTTCAGTTCAAGAAGGTAATAAGCTCCATGCAGCAACTAAAATAAGACGTAGACATTTAAATTGGGAGCAAGAAAAAATGAAAGTCAAATTAGCGGTTCAGACTTTAAGCACTAGCGTTGCAAATGCTTTAACTTTTCTCAATAAAGAATGTAAAATGCCTCAATTTAAAGAAAGTGAAGCAACAGCACATTTCTGTCTTATAATGAATAATATATTCGACCTGTTAAATGCACGAAATAAATTTTGCAAAACTGAATCCCAAAAATGTATATCAAAAGATACTTTTCCAGAAATCGCGAAAAAAATTGATATTTATATTAAATATATTGTTTCATTGAAAAACAGCGAAAATATACCAATCTTACAAACAGAACGAAAAACTGGGTTTTTAGGTTTTATAGTTTGCCTAAAAAGTGTTCTTGGTATTTGTGAACAATATGTACAACCACCCGAAAGTACATTAGACTATTTATTAACTTATAAAATGTCGCAAGACCACCTCGAACTTTTTTTTCTGCAATCCGTAGTAAAGGTGGTCATAATAACAATCCGTCTTGTCGACAATTTGAAACCGCTTTTAAACAATTGCTTGTTCATTGTGAGATAGGTGGTTCGGAATATGCCAACAGTATATCTCAAGATACTACTATCTTTTTACATGCACCATCAACAACAAAGAAAAATTCGATTGATGAATTAATAGTTTCTATTCCACAAACAAGTGAACATCAATACGTTAAAACTTTTGACGTTGACGAACATGATTATGCTACCTCTTACGTTTATATGAACTGTAATTCTGCTTATATTGATAATGCTTACATAGCGGGATTTATTGTAAAATCAA